GATTTACTCAAGTTACGAACCATAAGTATCGACACCGGAGATTCACTGCCAGTTCGCCACAAAGCCGTACCGATATGATAAGAAATAAAGAAAAAATTATAGAGTGGCACATTACGAGATATGTTACGTAAAAAGATCCATAACGCCCATCTCAATAGTTATGCTAGCCCGGTTGTTTTATGTAAGAAAAAATAACGACTTATCCATTAAACACATCCAAAAAGGTGGCGTTTCGCGAATTGACTATCGTAGATTAAACTCCATGGCTAAATATCCGGTATATCCGGTTACCTATTATTGAAGAAATTCTTAAGGAAACATAACGTTCTACGAAATATATGACTACTTTAGACTTAACGACTGGTTATTTTCAATAGGGGTTGAGGCCTGAGGACGTGCCTAAGACTGCTTTTACAACCAAGTCTGGCACTTATGCATTTTTGCGTATGCCGTTTTGGCCTTTCAGGGGCAACCGGCAACATTTCAGCGATGTATGGACATGGTGCTAAGGCCTGTTCTTGGAAAGTCCACATTTATATCTATTTAGACGATATCATTATTACTAGTGATAATCTGGACCAACATGTACAGGATTTAAGACACGTGTTTTCATTATTAAATGAGGCCGGTCTAAAAGTTAATGTCGAAAAGTGCAAATTTGCAGCCCGTGTTTTGAAATTTCCTGAGAACGATGAGAATTTATAAATTTCAGCGGATGCTTCGGATTATGCGGTAGGAGCGGTACTTTCGCAGAATCAGGAGCCCGTGGCATTTTTTAGTAGAACTTTAAATGAAACTCAAAGAAATTATTCCGCGACTGAGAGAGAGGCACTTGCAGTTCTGTTAGCAGTGCAAAAGTTCCGAGTCTATTTTGGAAGGGCGCCAATAACAGTGTATTCTGATCATGCGGCGGTAACTAGATTGTACTCAGGGAAAAACTTATCCCCAAGGTTAATAAGATGGGCACTCAAGCTACAAGAATATAATCTGGTAATCAAGCATACCCCCGGAAAGGAAAATATCGTAGCAGATGCCCTATCCAAATAAAAATAGATGAAGAAGGTAATAATACTGTAAAGGTGGCAATGCTCACAGCATGTACAATAAATTCCCGAGAAACTGTAATAACCGAACTGGGTAAGGATCCTGAATTTGGAAACATTTATGAGTATTTAAAGGATCCTGAAAATTTTAGCCACCAAGATATTGTGGCGATAAGAAATAGGGCGGCCCATTACGAACTAATAGATGGTCTATTATTTTATACAAAAACTACGAATTCCAACAACGAATTTCGACCTGTTATCCCAGCTAGTTAAATTAAATTAGCTATTAGATTAAATTTACCTGCAGGAGTTGACATGATTCAGCCCTTTAGGCTTCTCATGCTGGTATTCGAAAAACCTATCCAACGCGTACGCGAAGCAGTCTTATTTTCCTGAACTGCAAAAGTTAACAAGGGCGTATGTCCAGTCCTGCCCACATGTCAAGCAGTTAATTATATTAATTTCCGCCCGGCCGGGTTTCTAAATAGTATTAAATCCGAATTTCCAAATGAAATAATTGGCATCGATTTATTGGGCCCTTTCCCAAAAAGTCAGTTAAATAAAAGTCGGTATCTCCTCCTTGTTTATGGTTGATCATTTTAGTAAGTGGACCGAAATTGTTCCCTTAAAAAACGAGCCTCCGCGAAATTAGTTACTGATTCTATTTTAAATAAATATATTTTAAAATACGGGGCGCCCCTAAAAGTTATATCGGATAATGGTCCTCAATTTGTAAGTAATATATTTGAAGACATGTGCAAAAAACTGGGCATACGTCATTTAAAAATGGTCCCGTATCGGCCGCAATCAAATATAGCGGAACGGGTCAATAGAAATATAGTGAAAATTATCCGTAGTTATGTTAAAAATTTTCATAAAAGCTGGGTATAACTATGTCAATGAATTTGCTTTCGCCCTTAGGACCGCAAAACATGATACAACGGGCAAAAACTCCTGCTGAGTTATTTTTAGGCAGAAAGATTATAACGCCGTTAGATAAATTATTTTATGTTCAACAAAGAGCCCCAGAATTTAAAATGGGTGATATAGAAAAATTAATTAAAGAAGCAAAAAAGAACACTGAAGTAGCACAAAGAAAACAGAAGCTCTATTATGATATGAAACGACGGGGAGTAACTTATAAAGTAGGGGATGAAGTGTTAAAAATTAAGCATTCACTTTCTTCAGCACCAGAAGATAAAACTGCCAAATTTTTTCCACGATTTGAAGGACCATATGTCATAGAAAAAATAACTCACTCTGTAGTGGTGTTAAAAGCCAGGAATGGTGAAACATGCTCCGCAAACATTGACCAAATAAAACCATACTATGACCCGTAATAAAATGCAATATTTAAAGATCTTTTGCAGGATCCGGCACGGCAGGCACTGCAGGCACAAGCTCCAGAGGTGGAACAACGACAAGTACAAGGGCAAGCCAATTAGAGACAGGAGCAATTGAAAGAAAGTTCCCCGCGGAAAAATTGAAGGTAACAAGAAAAAGAAGCCGTTCCAACCGTTCCACACCGTCCAGAAAGAGAGCGCACGACCACCCCCAGAATGAAGAAGGGAGAAGTACGACGAATGCAAAGAGAGCCAGGAGAAATAACGGCAACTATAACCCGGCTCCCAAAACGGAAGATCTACTCATCGGACAGGACTCTACCGCAGCAAATGTCGCCGAACTGCTGAAGGACCACCAGCGGCGGAGGAAAAGATACAAGGAAAATTTGAACGGCCAGCAACGAGATCCAAGCAGGAACGAGAGAGAAGTGTCCCGGTTCCGCCAAGACCAGCGGCCATCAAACGGCCAAGACCACAGGCAGAGGCGAAAAAGAAGGTATTCAAGGGTGACCGAACTGGAGGGAAAAGAAAGCTCCTAGAGGAAGGCACTGAAGGGCGAGCCCGCACAAGAAGGAGGATAAATCAAACACGAATCCTTGCTACCTTCCAGGACTGGGCAGAGAAAAGAATGTCCGAATATCACAAAGATAAGTAAAACTTTATGTTATGTTACTTTGAAACTTAAGTTAATCTTTCATTCTTACTGCAAGTGGCAGATTTCAAGAACGTTTTACCTCATGTGAGGTCTACCTTTATATCGCCAAAAGGCGAGAAATGAGTTGTTACCTATTTTGGTATTATGTTTTTCAATTACTCGCGAGTAAAACTAAAGTTGATGTATAATAGGAATGTGTAAATACTTGAATATTGTAAAAGTTATTGTATAAAATTTTATTTAAAACATTCTGGCAAGAAAGAAGTTTTTAGTCTGAAAGACTTTTGAAATGTATATTTCAATGTAGAAGAATTGGCACTTGCTTGGAAAAGAATAGATGTTAACAATGTACTACTAATGTATGTTTTAAATTGCGTAAAATTAACGGCATGTTAATATGTTCTTATATACAATGTGAACTGTTATTTTAAATGTTAAGAAATACTGTGATATGGTAAAAGTGAAAGTAATGCCAAAAATTTTAAACTTATTTGTGTGACTGTAGAAAGGCCAAATTATGGTGAATATGTGTTAAAGGTTGAATGAATGTAGTTAGGCTCTCTGACGCTACACTTCAGAGTTAGCCACTTTCAGAATAGTACCTCTCAGGGTTTAGAGATGAAGATAAGGTGTGTTTTACGAGGTCTTGTTATGTTGAATTTTTAACACGTTAGTGTTTTTGATTGTAGGCGGCAGTGTTGAACACTTGTACATAAACACATTCGTGTTTGGTGTTTTCTTTTACAACACAATGTCAGAGAGCACGGGGAGAGAGAATTAAAATAAAGTCATGAATGAAATAAGAATGTTAAGAGAAATATAATATTCATGTTACTTGCCATTTAATTGTGTAACATTTCATTAAACTAGTTTTCCTTCCAGATCTCTGGAAGGAACCAGATTTCAACTAAGAAGCTCCTGTTTAGATGCAGTACAGATGAAAAGTAATTGTCCATGGAGCTGATAATGTAAAAAAAAACAATTTTTTTTTTTTTTTTTTTTTTTTAAATTTCTAGTTTCTAGTGAGAAATGTTTGTAAAAGATTGGCCTCGCGTTAGATTCTAGAGCTAAAAGTTTTCAACAAGGTCGTTTTAGACCTCAGTTTCAAACTAATTAACTCTGGCGGGAAGTATGTAAGTATCTTAAGTTTTAAGTTTTACTAACGTTTTTTTATTTTAAATCTTTACTATCACTTCTTATTTTCTACTTCCGGCCAGAATTATAAGCGTGAAGGTTTTTATGCAAAGTTTGTCTGGCGAACGCCAAGTACTTAAGTTGTGGCTTTTTGCCAAGCAAGAGAGAGAAGGAGTTAGTAGAAGCAGGCCGCTTGCCTTAGCCAGTTTTACTCGGTTGCTGGTTGCCTTCCAGGCCAGAGGTTAAATCCTCTTAATAATTTTAAACGTATTGTAGTGTTAACAGTTCTCTGTACTAGATACGGCTTCCTGTTAATATACGGCCAATCTTCCACGTAGGCCCTTGTTTGTTACTTCCAAAGTTAAGTTAGAGTTTTAGTTAATATTTTATATTCTTACGTTCAGACCACAAGTGGTTGGTCTCTGTATTCCGAAGTACGGAAATCATTGTAAAGAGTGAAAAATAAAGGGTTTCGTATACCCTTCCTGTGTATCTTGTCTACTTCCCACATGTATTGAACATAGCTTTAGTAAGCTCCCTGTTCCGAGTCAGGTTCTTGAATGTTCCCAAAGCAAGTAAGGCGGAACACTGAACCTGATAACATGATCTACAAGTTGCAAAATTCATGGACGCATATAACCTTTTGTATCAAATATGCATATTTTAATATATATATATATATATATATATATATATATATATATGACATAAAAGCAAGGAAAAGACCGGAACACTCTCGATGTGTACATAGATACATATTGAAGAGGAAGCATTCTGATTGTGTAGTATGCTAATGTGCTGATATCGTAATATATAAGGAACTTGGAAATCAAAATCTTTATTATAGAGGGAATGTACAACTTTTATGTATTGTAGAAATCCCGATTTAATGTTAAATATTGAGTTTCATTCAAAAAATGGTGTATCAAAATCTCTGATAAACCTTGATTCTACATACAGCGATGGTCCTGCTGTCAGTGAATGTCTCCTTTGGGTTTTTAAAGATGGATTTGTACTGTAAGGATTCTTTTGTGGGGAATTAACTCTTTGTTTATTACATTTCTCATTTAATTCTGGAAATGCAAATATAGGTTGAAGAAAATCAAGCAAAATTTTTGGAAGTATGCCAGCAGTCGTTGATGCTTCGTGCTTATTTAGTGACTTTTTCAGGTCCTCGTTATGCAGGAAAGCTTTCTCATTGCTTATACCAGAGTTATTTTCTTGGTTTTTTTTTTCTATATTTTGAACTGTTTCTGACCCTTCAGCATTATACACATTAGAACTCTGATTGATGTTCAGTGAAGTCTGTTGGTATAATAGTGAACTAATGTTATATTTGTAATAATCTTCATTACCTTTGGAGCTTTCATTTTCTTTGCTGAATATGAACTGCAGATGCATTGGTGTGTCATTTATATTTTCTTGTCTTTGCTTTGAGTATTGTCCAGTGTCTTGAGAAAGCAAGTTTGTGGGGTTTTTTTGCAAGGACTTTGTAGCTCTATCCATACTTTCTTGTGGAAATGAGTATACCAGCATGGTGACTGTACTGAATATCACCACCTAATAAAATAATCGAGAAAGTTATATACATGGCAATCATAATATAATTATTAATACATAAAAGTAAGAAATGTCGTATATACTTTTACATTCCATAAACTGAAAACATTGATGGTAGTTACAACAAATGGATATTACGTATATGCATGGTATTCATTATGGATTAGTTCACACTATATTTTTACTCATAATATTTTTAATTAATTTCACAAAAGTTGGTAATTAATTTACATAATGGAACTGATATTTAGACAAGTGGAAAGAAACAATGAAATTTATTCAATTGTCAAAGTGCAAAGATGTTAAATTCTTATCAAAGTAGCAATGTTATAGCTGAGTAAAGCACCAAAGTTATTGATGATTATCCTTAACACTATCTTTACTAAATCAAAAGCAAAATACTATCGCAATTTTAGTGAAAATTAAATCTTAAGCGAGATGTAAGTTAAAAGCAAATTTGATTTTCGATGGGCATTTCTCTTACAAGCTGTGGGAGAAAAATATTTAAATTGATAATCATTTTGAGCTTATTCCTTAAAAGTGGTGGACTCAAACTCAAATTGCATGCAGGCTGAATGTGCAATCTAAAAACAGATAATGGGCCTTATTTATTTATTTTTTAAGAAATGAAAAGCTTTTAATAAAGTAAAAGGTGTTTTAAATTTCACATGCTAACTTTTATCAAAACATGCATAAACAATAATGATCCTATAACAAAGGGGAAAAAATTAGAATTTATTTTCTGTCTGAAATATCAAGTTTGGTACCTGTTAGACATTTTTGTTGATTACACTTTGTAATTCAAATATATTGATTGCTAAATACTAAATTTTTAGACTAATGTTTATATAAAATAATTCTAACATGTATAATTAATTATTAAATTAATTTAGTTTAAACCCGACATAAACAAATTATGAAAGCTTTCGTAGTTTCAGAGAAAATTTATCAAGTGGAACAAAACTTGAGAATAAATAACAACCTAGTCTGCTTCTCTTATTTATTAATTTTTTTCGATGCATAAATAAATATATATATATATGTTTGTAGTAAATAATTTTAAAGTTCTTTATTTCTTACTACAGCTTGACACTTGATGGTGTTTGAATGCTAGCAAAATTTGCAGCTTTTGAGAGAAATTGCTAGAAATTATCTTCTTCATGGATTGTAGATGCTTATAGGTTAATCTTATCATTATTATTATTTTCCAACTGTGAACAAAAGCTGTTCCCATATAAATGTATTTCCAAACAAAGAGATTTTACAAAGTGCAAAAATTCAAAACTGAGCATATTAATTTTTTGAGAAGTAAAATATAACTTGATAAAATGTGTACCTTCAGATCTTTGAATAAGTTTTATATCATCCCGTAAATTAATTAGCTCCATATATAGATTTTCTGGTGTATTATTCATGTTTGTCTTTAATCGAAATGATAATAGTATAAACCTGGACTTTACTGAAACCTTTAAATCCTTCATCATCATATTTGCAATAAATGCATAATTGAAGTGTCATGTCAGGCGGCATAAAATTACTTTGGGGGGCCACCAGTTTGAGACTGCTTTTTTAGTTTACGGTCGATAATGTCAAAAAATAAGTTTTCAAGTGAATTTTCAGTCTGAAGAAACGAAAATGGATTCGAATCTAGAGAATAAGGAGCCTGTGAAATTTAATAAAATGCCCTTCCTAGTCAAAACATCTGGTCTTGGCTCTGTGTGACAAGGTGTATTATCATAGAGTAACATCTAAATGTCTTGAAATCTTCGTCACATGTGAACAGCTGGGTTTTTAATTTGTCACTTATATGCTTATAATGTAAACAAATATAACATGGTTATATGGAACTAAATAACATAGTTAAAAGGTATTTAGTTCTAATGTTAGTACTCATGGTAGTTATTCACGTCACTACCATGAGGGATAAACTGTGATTGTCACTTTCACAATTTGTCTTTCAAGCATAATTTCCTTAGGAATAATTTCCTCTCCCAAAACACATCAATACTGATCTGATTTTGGATTTGCCTGTTATATGGTTCTTCTTACTTCCATGTTTTGTTTCTTGAGTATATCGAGAAATTCTTGCGACTATGGATATGTTCTATCTAACACTCCTTTCCTCTGCTTTAGTACTAATCACTCCTCCCCTCAAGCATAATATTTTTTGGAGGCAGTCTTAACAAGCACCTTTTGGATGCCCAGCTCAATGGTTAAAATTTCAAAAAGTATAAAATGGTTCAAATTTAATTTCTGATCATTAATACCGTCGTTTGATTTTGTAATTAAATAAAATTTCAAATTTTTACGTTTTTTCCTACTTTAGATTTGCGAAGTTTCCCGTATCAGATCTCTACTTCAGTATTTGAAGATCCTCTGAAATGGCTTTTATGTTGTCTGAAGACTTGGAGGTTCTAATTAATGTACCACGTATTCTTGTTGTTGTTGTGCTTGCCAATATTAAGAAAAGATATTATCGCCTTATCCTATAATACAGTCCATTCATAGAAACATACATTTTTGTTAAGCTGAGCCGCAGTTTGGAATTGACTCCTGAAGATTTCGTTTAGAACTTTTGTTTTCTTGTGAAACCTTTTATCTCGTTGGATATAGTTATACAGTGATCAGTTTGCTGTTACCTTCAGGAAAATGGGTAAGTGAATTTTGATTCCACCATTCTGTTAGGAACTGAAAATTAAGTATTTAAGTAATTGAATTTATTTTGTATTATATATCGCTTTAAATTTCGAACTGTCTGAAAATTGGTTTTATTTGACTATTCAGTATAGACATAAAGAAAATAAAAGAGCATAATTGTATACTATTACTACGAAGGTATTAGATAAGTCCCAAATCGAAACTAAAAGTTCAAATCCACACAGTGACGTTATTGGAGAACTACTTGCTTAGTTAATGGTTGAAGAGCAAGACTACATTTAGTAGATAGAAAAACAGAAAATTTATTGCGATTGTATAAGTACAATAACTGTAAACTATGTAAATCGACGCATCAAATTTACGTGTGTGATGGATTTTAAAATTTAGCGGTGAATAATCGTTTTGAGACTAAAAGAATTTGATCTTCGTATTAATTTTCTTAAACCATTGCATGAGGTGACAAAATGTAAATGAAATAGCTCGTGAAGTTTATGCAGATCACGCCATCATAGCCTATTAGCGCATAAAGAAATTCACTAATAGGCTGACCGGAAAACACCTGTCATCAAAGCGCATAATAATTGCCCCCGCGCCAGGTACCCCTCCACCGGAAGTAGCTTCTGAGATGTCCTCGCTTACAGCCTCCTCCACCCGAAGAACCGTTCTGACGACAACTGTAATTTACATTAAGGATAGAAATGGTGAACTTTACTGTTACATTGACAGCGATTCAGTGTGTAACTTCATGACTATGAAATGCTCAATCAGATTTCGTTTAAATCAAAATTAGCGTTTCGATATCCTGCTTGAATGACAGAATTCTTAATATACAGTACAAAGTCCGTAATCCGGACGTCCATTATCCGGAATGATCTATAATCCGGACCTCTAAGTCACAAACTTTACGCATGCGTGCGTTGAAAGAAATGTTTAATAAATTAACAAATAAATATTAAGCTTTTTTTTGTAAAATTCGATACCCTTTAGATCATAATTGCTCTTTATTTCATAAATTACAGTTTCATATTTTTAATTGTATAATTTCTGCATGCCATCTTACTAGATTTAAATTGATGATCTATAATCCAGAAAAACCCCTAATCCGGAATAGCCGAAGTCCCGACGAGTCCGGATTACAGACTTTGTACTGTATTATTGAAAAAAAAAAAAAAAAAAAAAAAAAAAAAAAAACTATTGCTACCATCGTTAATAAAGGAGAAGACTATAACAGAAATTTAGAATTTTTTAATGGTACCTAAAATAACTAACATTACATCAACCCAGAAATTGGATATTATATCTTTAGAAATTTTGAATTATGTACTGTCTTATGCTGAATTTTATACGCCGCGGAAGACTGATTTGCTAATAGGTGCTGAATTCTTTTTTGATTTATTAAAATCTGGAAAAATTACATTGAAAGACTCTCGTCTTATACTTCAAAATTCAGTATTTGGCTATATTATTAGCGGAAAAATTGATATCAGTTTGAAACAAAAAGATACAGCATATTCTGAGTTCATCCAATAATTAGAAGATACGAATCAGAGCATAAATAATTTTGGGGAAATTGAAAAGATAGACAAAGATAAACCTCTTAAAGGCGAGGAAGATATTTTATGCGAAAATATTTTTTTGGGAACACATTGTAGAGATGAGGATGAAAAGTATGTTGTCCAGATGCCAATGAAGAATATTTAGAAATTCTAGAGTAAATTCGCTGTGGAGCAAACTGCTTAAGGAACCAAAATTGCTGTTTGTATCAAGATTCTCTCAAATAATACGAAACTTTAGGGCACATGAAAGAAGTACATGAAGACGAAAAATTGGAACCATCATATTGTATTTCTCATCATAGAATATATCGACCAAACAAAAGTACGAGAAAACTGAGAGTCGTATTGACCGTTTCTGCGAAGACAGGCGCATTTTAAATAAAGCGCTTCTGAAAGAAGGCGTAGCGCAGTAATATTTGTTTTACATTATGATAAGATTCAGGAAATGCCGCGTTCATTGCTGATATAGAAAAAAAGTATCATCACATATTATTAGATCCAGAGCAAAGAAAACTAAACAATTCTTTAGAAGAAAACTGCTCAGGGAGAAATCAAGACGTATCAGTTTACCGTTACGTATGGTACTACTAGTGCCCTTTTCCTTACTACTAGAGTCCTGCGACAATTAGCTGAAGATGAAGGAAAAGAATTTTCATAGCTGTTTCAGTCACAGTTCAAGATTTTTACAGGGATGATGTTTTCTCGGGAGCAGAAGCTATAAAAAAACATGAACGAACTACGAAATCAATTAGTTAATCTTTTCAGCCAGGAAAGCATGAAGTTTCA